TTTAGCTCATGGTATCGTAGAGTATGTTGTAAACGCTTTAATATTCCACTTCCTTCAGCTAGAGCGTTTGGCAAGTTTGTCTTCTACAAGTTTTTGGAATATTAATTGACACTCTTAAAGGCTTTACCAAAAACATTGTCTCAACACTTTTACATCCTTATCTATTTGAGAGTTTGACTGCTTACTTTTTGGTACAGTATAGTTTTTGCATTTAGCACAACTCTCATTGACGCTTTGATTTTGGGAATCGTTTAGTGTTGCGTCTAATTTAGGCCTAAGTGTTTTTCTAAGGCTTTCCTATGTTACTAAGTTATTAGAGATTTTGATCTTAACACTTATGTTTTCGCTATCTTTATATTCTAGCGATAACATCTTCATGTTCTTATTTCGTTTAATGTTGTTTTGTTTAACTTCAAAACATATGAGAGTGTTTAGATATATAAGTCTTATAGACGATTTTATCTTAACACTCACGCTCTACCTTGTCCTTGGCCACGCCAATTCTGCTGATCAATTTGTTCTTCATTGTTTTCATGGTCATCTTGATCATGAGCTACGCTTCCTCAGCCACCTCAGCCTCTACCTCTAGGACCTCGGCCTCGAGTGTTGTGTTTGTCCCTTCAAGTCGAATTGTGCTTGCAATGTTTGACCAAGGGACTCCTTATTCTTCCTCCTCGTTTCTCGTGCGCCTCAAGTGACCCAACAAGTTCTTGAATTAAGAGCACTGGCAAGTCCTTTAACTCCTCAAGGCACAAATTATGCTTTCGAAATCATTTGTTAATGATCTCAAAATTTTCTCCACAACCCAACTGGCTGACAATGATACTCCATTCCTGCCAAGTTATGTACTCAGACACTTGTTCTTTGTCTTTCATCTTCAAATTTTCAAACTCCCCCTAAAAGTTTGAGGTTGGACTTGTCTAACATAGTTGTTCCTTTTGTACGCAATTTTCAAGATCTCTCACCTTCTCTTGAAGATGCAGCTTTTGCTATCTTCTTAAAGTCTGATTCGTCAATTGCTTTGTACAATAGGTAGGCCGATTTTTCTTTCACTCGCATCTTTCTCAATGAATCAATTTGGACCACTGCTTACTCTTTATTTTTCGCTAGTTCTTTCTTTTCATTCTCTATTACATCCTATACGACTTAGGATCCAAGAAGAGCCTTCATATATAGACTCCAATTATCATAATTGACTTTCTTTGACAATTGTAGCTGGGACAAACTATTTACTAGATTTGTCATATCTCTCACCCTCTCCTTCTCTTAAACACTCAAGCACACTATTTCACTTTCTCTTTATTTCTTCTCTCACTCATACACTCAAAAATATAAAGTTTTGATGTCATGTAAACACAACACATACTATATAATTGTATCTTGTAATTTTGTATACTTTAATGATAAATGTCGCAGTCATAGAACTAGGAATAAAAACAATAATCCTAATAATGGAGCAAGTATAAAAAAGAGTAAAAAAAAAAACTAAATATGTAGAGTCAAAAATAATAACAGGAACTAAATATATAAAACTAAAACTAGTAACAAGAATAAAAAAAAATACACTCAAAACGAAATTAATATAATTACAAAAACACCATAATTTAAGTTTATCCTACCATAAACCGCTTATCTGCAAATCTTCTCTGGCGTGACCTAGCCTCTGTACAAATCTTCATCTGTCTTCGAATTGCAGTCAACCGCAGCTTCCAATCGCAGTTAATCACGTGCCCTAGCTTTCTATTTCTCTCCATTTCTCTCTTGGAGTGATCCAACGAGAGGATTGGGTGGAATATCAAAAAGTCCTAAACACAGTTACTTTACTCTAAGCTTAATTAATTGGTTTAATTCTTAATGATTTTGAGGCCATTGAGTGGTGGTACAGAGAAGACATGAAAGTAAATGAGACATTTATTAAGTGCATCGTCAAAAGTGTTGTTGGTTGAATGGTTAATCATGGCGTGTGAGCGTGAACGAATGAACATTCTTGTTGTGCTCTCTAAAACGGAAAATGAGAAATAGCACCAATGCTCACAGCGTTGTCATTTTCATCGTTTTCTTATTCCACTCAAACACACACAACTTCTCACTCAACAATGTCTGCGTCTCTCTAACCATTCCACCATCAGTGGATTATGTTGGAAGGGGATGGTCCCCCTCAAATTTTTACATTTTTTTAAATTCTATGTGGAATCATTTTTAATTTTTTTATATTCTATGTAGTGTATAATGAAAATTAAATTAGATAATAAAACATTTTTTTATAAGTACAGCATTTATTTTTAAAAAATAATAAAACATAAAATTAAGTACAATAAAAATATTTATTAAGATATGTTTTATTTTTCTTTTTATTATCTTTTGAGTTATTTCCCAACTGTATTTCTCTCTTAGTTTTACATGTTTTTTTTCAAAGAAAAAATAAAGTTCGATAGAAATTTATTATTTATGCTCTTCTATCTTTTATATTCTAATTAGGGATGGCAAAAAAAACGTGCCTAAGATGTTTATGAATAAATCCGCGATGGATAGTTATTATTTATGGATATTTATTATTTATTTACGGGTAACCGGTAGCATGTATTTTAATACATGTTTCTAAACGAGTCTGGTACGAATATTATATTATTCGACTTTCGGGTATCCGTTACCCACAAAAAATAATAATAATAATTTATATATTTTAAAGTTACTTTTTTTATTATTCTTAAAAGAAAGAAAGTTTTTCAATTAAAAATTACGTAATCCTAATTAAAAATCCTAATTGTTCAATAATTAGTTTCTTTCAAAAACTCTATTCAGAGTTTTTTCCCTAATATCTTCTTTTTTACATTTCTCGCGACCAAACCCAGAAGCTTCAAGCTTCTTCTCTATCTCTATTCTCGCGCGGACAACTCCGCTTGGAAAAAATATTTGTAGCTCGCACAAAGGAGGTGGTCTCGTGGTGGCAAAGACGGCAGTGCAGTGGTGGTGTGACTTCGGCAACGTTATCATCTTCCTTGATGCCTCGCGAGGGCACATGACCCTTCTTGTTCTTCTCCTTCCCTTCGTGCTAGTTTGTTGCGCAAGGAGGGAGGTTTCTTCTCGCTTCACTTTTCCTAGTTTGTCTTGTAGAGAGAGGGAGCTTCTATGTTTTACGGCAATTTCGCAACACAGTGGTCCAATTCTCATGTTTGGCTCACTATTTTGGTATTGAATTTTCTTTGTTTTTCCTCTGCATGTGGTGGCAAAATATTGGGGTTCTTATCTAGAATTGAGAGTTTTGAAATTGGGAATTTAAGGTTGTTGTTTCTCACAATTTAAGGTTAGGGTTCAGGCGATTGGGGTTTTTCCAGATATTGTTGAGTTTGGAGTTTTTTATCTTCTTTTCTGGTTTGGGAATTTTTGGGATTCTTGGTCTTGTAATTTTGGGGTTTTCTCTACGTTTCTGATGTTGGGGTTCTATGCATGCAATTTTGTTCTTCCAATTGAAGGTTACGTTAAATTTAATTAAAAAATTAAATTTTAATTTAATTTATATTATATTATATATATTTTGTAATTTTATTTTAAAAATGTATAAAATATATTTCTTTTAATTTTTGCGGGTACCTACAGGTTTTAAAATATCTGTGGATATTTTTAAGCGGATACTCGCGCAGGTAGCGGACGAGCTGCGGGTTGGATTTTTGTTTTACGAGTCGGGTTGCAGGTAGGCATTATCTGTGTCTAACCCAACCCATTGTCATCCATAATTCTAATTCACTTTTAAAGAAAAAATGTATTTGTTTTGCCTTATTTGATCGTAAAATATTAATTTCATAATGCTTTTTATCTCATGAGTTTTTTTATAGTCATTTTTTTATAAACATAAAAAGAAAGTTATCTATTATGTGTTTTTTTAATAATGAGTTTTTAACTGTGGCTTAATTATCATATATTTTTATTTTAATAATTACTTTCTCATTTTTTTTATTAGATTTTGATAAATTATTCTTTAGTCTTAAATGTAACATCCCAAAATATATAGTAAAAATTATATAAAATAGTAGTCATCATTGTAATATTATAGAACAGTTAAAGACTTGCAGATAAAGAGTTAATCTTATAGTCATCCAAAATGGCTATAAAATTTAAAACTTTATATACAATGGAGTATTTCAAAACTTATACAAAATAAAATAAACAGCCTAACTAAACTAGACAGTCGTATCATCACCCCCTAAGACCTGCTCCAGGGGCACCAAATCTATCTTTACTCACATCCAAAAGGATGATCATGGCAAAAGAAAACATCACACAACAAACATACAAACACAAGCAGAAGGGTGAGCTAGATATACTAAATCATATCATTAAAAATAGCATACAACATACAATTTTAATTCAAGTAAAGTAAACTGAATCACACATCCTAACATGTTATACTCTAGACCTGACTCGTCCGGACTTAGAATGAATTGTCGAGCTATGACGGTTTGTGCACTCGTGGTGGCCTCTACTACTTTGCAAAGTCATTGCCAATGGGTTTCAGCCTACCACACACACGAGGTTAGTCTATTCCGGGCCTTGAGGCATACTGGAAGCTCCCAAGACTAAGACCTCCTACTACTCCTCCCAACATGGTTCAATCCTCTCTATTTGAGAATGAAAGATCATTGGAGTTTCAGAATAACCCCCAAGACTGAGCTCCTGCATTCATTCAAAACAACTAAGTCTCACCAAGAGATTCTACCTTAGAATTTCCCTTTTACCACTTTGAATCACATACTTTTACTTGGCAACATCCTTAGTCATTTACATGTTACACACTTAATCATACTTCATATTTCAAACAACATTCCACATAATTCAAATCAAGACAAAGAACAAGGAGAGCAAACTAGATACACACCTTTCGCTCAGCGCACCCCACTCGCAGAGCGAAACCAGGATTTTCTCGCATAGCGACACAACTCGCTGTGCGAATTAACTCGCAGAGGTACCAGACCTCAACCCCTCGCATAGTGTCCCAAGTCGCTATGCGAAAGCTCAAACAGAGACCAATCATCCCAACTCACTCGCTGTGCGCCCTTTTTCGCTATTCGAATAAAATGGTAGTATTCCCAGACCCTAACCAGTCGCATAGCACCCCAATTCGCCATACAGATCGTCAAACAGATAGCAACTCTCTCAAACCATTGGCACAGCGCGTCTATTCGCTGTGCAAATGCCCTGGCAGAGAGCACCTCAGCAGGGTGACTCGCTATGCGAATAGATTCGTATAGCGAGTCTACATAATCTGCATAACTAAAATCTGCAGAATTATACAACTCAAACCTCCATTACCCATTCTAAATATTTTTCCCAACTTCTAACACTCCTAGATTGTATTATATACCTAATTAGACTTGTCTAAGTGATTCTAAACCTTACTAACACCAATCTAAAGTGATTATGAACCAAATCCTAGTCTAGAACATCAAATTTCTCAACTTAAAGACCCAAATTCAATTCTACCACTTTGTACATGTTTTTGACCATTTATATGACTCAAACAAGTCACAAATAACTTACCTAAATTGCCTCGATAGACCAAATGAGCCCTTGACCTCTAATTCTCAAATTCACTACCTCATTTCTTCTAAAATGCCCCAAAACACCATAATTCACTTAACCACCTACCTAATAACTATCATAACATATTTCACATCTCTAACAACTCAATTACAGCAGTATATCTCATCCAAATCAATTCACAGTTTTACATTTAGATATTCACATACATACAATTCAATCCACTCCAAAAATCCAAATTGTGCTTCAAACAGCAGAATTCAGCATATACAGATGTCATACAAATAATTTAAGAAAATATTTATCTCCCCTTACCTCAGAGATAAGCTGCCCAGCTCACAAGATTACTTCAACAGTACCTTGCACTGCAAGGAAACTTTACAGAAACCTACAAATCACCAATCAGTGATAGAGAACAGCTCTTAGAACCTAAATTGAGCTGAGAATTGAAGAAGAAAGCTACAAGACACATGCAACAACACAGTTTGCATGATCAAGACTCAAAAACATGCGAAGAAAAGGGGAAAAACAGCTTACCAGCTAGAATCAAGAAATTGATCGGTCAATTGTATAGCCCTCTACGCCGTGAACGTCTGGGCACCTCTTGGTCGTCAATCAAACAATTCAGTTGAGAGAAATCCTAGAGAGAAGGCAGAGAAAGAGTAGAGAATAGTGTCTTAGAGAGATGAAGTGTTTTAGATAATGAACCGAGCTTTAGAAAGTTCTATTTATTTTATAATATTATTTTTAAAGTAAAATGCTCGTCTCATTATTTTAATACATCTATCTACTCTATTACTCTATTTTCTAGATTCTTACATTAAACCTTTTTTTTTAAATAGATATGTTGATAAAGAATAAAATAATAGATTATTTTTTAAAAGTGATAAAAGAAAAATTGTCATTGAAGATGAAACAACATTTTTTCATATATTCTGAAGCATGACATTAATGACCTAATTATTCAATTGAAAGAGTTCTTTCTTAAAATTCAAAGAATTATAGATGAGACACTAGCACAAAAATGTCATATAATGTTACTCATTTAGGTCAATCCATTAGAAGTCCAACATAAGACATGACCGATGATGTTTTTGTAAATAAGATATCAAAGTTTAAGTTGACTCAATCAAAGTTTAACATCAATTGACATCGGTCCCCTTATCCCCAACATTAAAATAAAGAATGACATCGACCCACTACATATTAGACGTCAATGGACATCGATGCAAGCATTCTTCGACATAAAATTGCATTTTAAATCAAACCTAGCGTATTTTTTAATCATTGTTCTTTCATGACACCTTCAAACATTCATCCCTAGCAATGACGAGAACGAGCTTTATAGTTAAGTTTTTCTTCCTTTTCCACCATTGAACTTCTTGTACTTTCATTTATAGATTCATTTATGTGTAAAAAACCAATTGATTTTCCTTTTCATCCCGTTCATCTTCATTTTCATTTTGAAAGAGAAAAGAGTGATGGCAATGGCATACTAGGCAAGCTTTGCAACGGTGGCGACAAGCCTATTCCACCATCCATCCAACTTCATTCTCGATTTCGCTAAGAATGACAATTCCCGTTGCACTTTGTCCCTTTTTCCTTGTATGTGATATTGATTATTAGATTTTTTTTTTCTTTGTCATTATTGTTTTTATCTTAGACAATTTTTTAAATTGGTTTTCTTTGTCATTTTTTTGTTTTAATTAAATTTTTAAAATATTTGTAGTATTAGATTTAGACTTATTATTAGATGTTGTATATTTAAATAATTTTATATTTGTTAAGATTTATTATAATTCTAGTTAATCATTAAGCTATTAGTTCTCGTTTGAGATTTGGTACAAATGATTAAATTTTTAATCGTTTGTATTAAATCTTGAATTTTCCAATCAAACAGTTTGTAAAAAATATTTATCATAATTCCTTATAACTTGTACATTGAGGTTTACACCTAAATTTGATTATATTTTAGTTGAAACCATTTTTTGTTGTTCTTCATATGCATACTTGATTATGGTCATGAGTGATCACTTTCATTTTTTGTACTTCAGAGACCAGTGTGAAATGTTACTAAAATTTTGTCAAATTTATGATGTTTGATTTCTATTGTAGAAGTGTTAGAAAATTATGATAAATATTATTCCTGAATGGGTAGGACATCACCTTGTTAAACTTAAAAATTCGAGATTGATCGAGTTTTTCATGAACATAATATAAATCAAAATTAAATGAATAAAAGTCACATTAGTAAAGAGTATGAAAATGAAGTTTTTAAATTCTTGCAATATGTTCAAGAACACAAAATCTCAATGAACACGGGACATAATTTTGCCCCTGTGTTCGTTATCTTAATCAAATACATCAGAACTTGGGCATAATGTGTGTTCATCTTTAGTATAGTGATGAGTTATACAGTTTAGACTTAACATGAAAAAGTATTATACAAGCCTACAATATCACAAGGAACAAATTATGTTAATAAATCGATGAATGATCATTTAGAAGACATGGTATGCGATGTTGAGAAAATGTTGAAAAAACTCATTTATACTATTCTCTTAATTAGGAAGAATTGTACCCAAAATGTGATAACTTTACACAACTATCAACAACTTTAAAATTGTTCAGTAAACATTATCCTCACTTCCTCTCCTATTCTCACAATAGTCTTAATTGTTGTAACATAAGGTTTTGGAAACTCTTCTCTTTGAAGAGTTGTCTCGTAGAACTAAACTTTCAATAAAGGTGGGAAAAAATCGATATCTTTAAATTTAATTTATAATTATCAAATTCATATTGTTTTGAATTTATTTTAATAGATTTATCTAGTTGAAATCAACAACTTTTTATATAGGTCCAACCCAACTAACTGGATTTGGATTAGATAATTGTTGCATTTTAAAAACGACAGTTGCTCCCTCCACCACCACCGAATGCTCCCTACACCACCCCATACCAATTTTGCCCTTCTCTAAAACGGATGTCAACATCCGTTTCACCTTCAACGGATGTTGACATCCGTCCGTTCATATATTTTATATTTTAATTTATTTTTTTATTTAAAAAGAAAAAAAAATCTTCAACGAATGTGGCGACATCCGTTAACGGATTGCCACATCCGTTTTAATAAAATTTTCAAAACTTTTTTTTATTATTTAAATAATAATATACAAAATAAATTAATAATAATTATTTTGTTAAAATAAAATAAAATTAATTCATAAATAATTAAGTAATAATTTTAAATTAATTAAATAATATTTATATATTAATTTAAAATATAATAAATTAAAAACTAAAAATTTAAAAAGAAAAAACTTCATGAATGTTGCCCACATCCATTTTAATAAATTTTTAAAAACTATTTTTATTATTTAAATAATAATACATAAATTAAATTAATAATAATTATTTTATTAAATAAAATAAAATTAATTTATAATTAATTAAATAATAATTTTAAAAAAATTAAATAATATTTATATATTAATTTAAAATATAGTAAAATAAAAACTAAAAATTTTAAAAAGAAAAAAATTTCACCGGATGTTACGGATAACATCCGTATCAGTTTTAATAAATTTTTAAAAAGTATTTTAATTATTATTTAAAATAATAATACATAAATTAAATTAATAATAATTATTTTGTTAAATAAAATAAAATTAATTTATAAATAATTAAGTAATAATTTTTAAAAAAATTAAATAATATTTATATGTTAATTTAAAAACTTAAAAAAACTAAAAATTTTAAAAAAAAACTAAACGGATGTGAGACATGGATACATCCGTTGAAGAAAAAAAGAGGTGTAGGATATTTTAAAATATAAAGAATAGTTTTGGAATTTAAAAAAAGTGTGGTGGTGCAGGAAGAAATGTGTGGGTGGTGTAGGAAGTAACCCTCTTTAAAAACTTACTATGAAAATGAAGTTAGGTCAATTTGGTATGTAAAAAATTAAGTAAATCAAACTTAGGGAAGTTAGGACCAAGATGGTTGAACCAACTTATGCAATGTTGAAAAAGATTGGGCTTGAGTCATGCAAAGTTAGACAAGGTTGGGCCTAAGACAAAATAATTTTGGTATTGTACCCGATCAAAATCCTAAAACCTAATTCCATCAATCATTTTTAATTTGTTTCGCTATTTTACATCTAGTATTGATTTATTAAAAATGATTTATTGGCCTATTTACAACTCTGGTTTATTTCCATAAAGTAATTATAATTACTTTTAAGTTATTAATGGTAATCATACTATATGAATTGTCAGAAATTTAATTTGTGTTAATTTCATCTATTTCATCGGTTGATGAAAATGTTAATACATCGGCAAAACAATTTGCAATGTATAGGTTTAATTAGTTGATAACAAAAATATAAAATGAATAACAAAAAACATATTTCTTTTTCAATTTTTTAATATAATTTTATTTTTAACCGAAGTTAATTATAAAACTATTTATACCATTTATAATTTATCATTTCCAAGATAAAAACTGTTTTAACTGGGTTTTATTAATAGAGATTATAATAAGTTCTGTGTTTCAATGGAGTTTATTAACAGAGGTTACAATAACTTCTAGTAGTAAAGTTCATTTCTCTCGTCTCTCTTTTTTCACAATCACCCTTACTCGTTTTTTTATCCTCTGAAAACACTATTTGTACCTTCTCTGCAAATCTTCTCTAGTTTCGAATTTCTGAGTCATCCTACCAAAGGATTAGTTGCTTTACTCTAAAATTAGTTGGATTAATTCTTAGTGATGTTTTTATGTATATTATTGATGTTAATTCCACTGAGTGAAAGTAGGAGTGTAATAAATAGGAAAGAGATAAAAATAGAGTGAGAGCAGAATAAATAAAAGAGATGTTAAGTGTTGATTAAGTTAATCTGTCTCTGTCTCTTCAGCCATTCCACCTACTCACAACACAATCATTAAATTTCATGTACAAGGTATCACACATTTACATTTAGACTTAAATGTTTACTTCGTTCCATGTTAAGAGGTGAATTTCTGTTTAGTATCCAGTTTTAAAAATGTATCTATTGAGTCTCAAAGTTGTAAAAAGTGTATAAATGAAGTCCCCTCCGTTAAATTGGCTTAAACGGAGTTAACTCCGTAATGACGTGGCTTCGTTTTTTTTTCTCTCTCCTCTGTTATTCCTGCCATCTTTTTCTCTCTCTTCCTGCCATGCGATAGTGGTTCAAAAGAGAAGCACAGAACATCTCCGATGCGCAAAAGTGGTGGCTGACTCACTGCGACATGTCTTCCGTTTTCCTCGCCGGTGATAGTGCAGGCGCCAACATAGCTTATAATGTGGCCACCCGCATGGGATCATCATCATCGTCATCATCAAACACGACGACACCATTATCTCTCAAGGGTGTCGTACTGATCCAACCTTTCTTTGGAGGAGAAGAAAGAACTAGCTCTGAGAAGCATTTCCTTCAGCCACCCAATTCGGCGCTCACTTTATCCGTTTCCGACACTTACTGGCGCTTGGCGCTTCCTCTTGGAGCCACCCGTGACCACCCATATTGCAACCCTCTTGCACATGGCACGGTCAAGTTGAGAGATTTGAGGGTTTCTTCCATTATGGTGTGCGTTTCAGAAATGGATATACTGAAAGATAGGAACTTGGAGTTCTCAAAAGCTTTGGCTAAAGCAGGAAAAAGGGTTGAAACAGTTTTTTTCAAAGGCGTAGGCCATGCCTTCCAAGTGCTGCATAATTACCAGCTTTCACATTCCCGAACCCAAGAAATGATAACCCATATCAGAAACTTCGTTGGAAGCCACGTCATTACGGAGCAGAAAGAGAAAAAGAGGGTAGAAATATCAGAGGAGAGAGAAAAAAAACGAAGCCACGTCATTACGGAGTTAACTCTGTTTAAGCCAATTTAACGGAGGGGACTTCATTTATACACTTTTTACAACTTTGGGACTCAATAGATACATTTTTAAAACTGGGTACTAAACAGAAATTCACCTCTTAACATGAGGACGAAGTAAGCATTTTAGCCTTACATTTATTTATCTCCACTTTACCTTTAAGTGATTTCAAATAGGATTTTCATTTCATATAATAGTTAAAATCCATGACTAGATGTTTGATGAAATATGAATTTCATATCTATTTTTTAATGTAGTTTATAATCATTGAACAAACAATATTAACTCTCAATTTAGTGTATTTTAAGAGTGGTATCATTATTAAATTTTTCGGGGATTATTATAGAAATTTGACGGATAATAAATGTGTGAAGACTAGTATTGCAATAATTAACAACAAAGTGCAAAAGTTGTCTTAAAATTGCATATAATTTAATAATGGTTTATATAAACTCTTACAAAGATCAAAATTCATAACTCAAATTATACAGATCTTGCAGATACCTCAGAGAAAAAGCAAAACCTTATATCATCTTTAAATAATGAATATGCTGGCTTGTTCATCATTCATCAATTTGGATAGCAGACATAGGCACTTCAGAGTTGACTGGTTCATCATCACCATCCTCACTCTGGCTGTCTTCAGAATCCATGGAGGCTTCCTTTTGGAAGTAATCAGTTTTGAAATCGTAATCACCATCCATGGGATCCGAAGAGGCGGAAGCTTTCTTATCCTTTTTTCTTTTCTTCTTCTCTGCGCGCCTCAGTTTTGTATTAAGCATACCGTCTGCAGCATATAATTTTTCATTTTGCCTACTTGCAGCACTGTTATCCTTGTTCTTCCCACCACCATCTTCCATGGATTCATCCACCTCAGCCACATTTCCGGGATCTTCGCCTTGGTCAGCTGACTTGGTTTGTGTCTCATCCTACAAGAGAAGATAATGCTTTAATTAGTAAGTGTGAAAACACTAAAATTTCCCGCATACAATTCACATCAACAATAGTCAACTCCCTAGGCATCTTCTCCTAAGTCCAAACGGTTTCAATTCAACAAACAAACCTCCAACATCATTTCAGTAAGATTGAGAGGGTGACTTGAAGGAACTTCAACAGCATTGAAGTCATCAACAGATTTAAGACTCCCAATAAATGAAGATTCATTGTTGTAGACTTCATCAACGTTAAACTCTTTTGCAAATTCAGAAACTATCTTCGTCTCCGAAGGTTCACCTTGATCCCTATTTGGGGGCATGGTATAATACTGAATTTTACCTGAAATATACAAACAGAAAGAGAAATTTCAGTGTTTAGTTCTTCCTCAATTTTAACTTCAACTCAGAAAAGTAATCAGTTCTCTGATCATAATTTAAGAAATTCCATGTATCCGTACCCTCGTTCCAGTCATGAAGAATGATTCTTGCAGCAGCAGCAACGTCAACTATTCCACCCTTTTTGAGTTTGCCCCTGACTGTAGCTACCTTCCGCAGAAAGTCGTCAACATCACCTACATTGAAACTGGGAATCTTGTACAGAGTTACAAGCTGCTCGGGCATACAGAGCTTTAGAATTTCCTTCACTGCGTTGTCCAAGTTAAAAAGAAAAGGAATAAGTCTTTCAAATTTACTTAACAAGAGCAAGTACAGCTTAAATCAGGATTTTCCATAAATAACATAATTGTATCATGCAAACTTCTAAGCGTTTAGGAAATTAGAATTCTCATTACTAAATCAAACATTAATTTATATCTAAATAAAATGTAAAACAACCAGAGTTTTAAAACAAGACAATAGGAAACATAATCCAACAGCCTGTGCATAAAATAACCGAACGTTCCACTACACCACCTATCAGTTGCATTATTAAAACCGAACAGAAGTCTGTTTTATAACCAGGATAAGGTTACAAGATTTAATGAAAGGGTGATTTTATCACCGACATCCTGACTCTGGTAGATCAAACCACACAAAACCATAATATTATATACAGCGCCCAATGACTACCCTCATTCACACTATCATTGTTAACACAAGTAAACGCAAGTTTGAAAATATTTCAAATAATTGAATTTATAACTGAAAGTCATTCTATTAGAGAAAATGGATGAATAGAGGATAAGAAATTTACACAAAACCAGATATTAAATAAAAATGTACAATGGGCCAATAGCACTTCTGTTGAAAAAAAACATAACATGTTTAAGGACAAAGTGCGACCCTTATATATGCAGTCACTCGTCAAACCAAATGCACCAAAAAATAGCAAAATCTACAAATTGTTGTAAAATTGATTAGTATTTCTTCAATGTCACGAGCTCATTTTCTTTTACTATTTTTTCATGTAAAATTCCTATAAATCTTCTACCATTCATTTCAACTAAATGCAAATAAACACATGAATAACCAGATAATAAGGAGGGAAATGACTTAGTATACCTGGGCTAATTGGATCCTCTAACTTCTCAATCCTCTTGCAATTTTTTAAGGCAATGGAAGCATCATTTTCTTGAGACTTCAGCATAACAACACCAGGGCAATCTAGCAACTTAACATTTTTGTCCAATTGCACCTCTTGCATTGATCTTGTTAACCCCGGAGTAGAGCCAACATTGACAACATGACACCTTTTTAAACTATTAATAAGGCTACTCTTACCCACATTGGGCAAGCCAATCAAACCCACAGTGATTGACTTTTTGATCTGTCAAGGCAAGGAAGCAAAACAACCAAAAAATGAATGATCTAAAATCAAAGGACAAAAGCATAAAAAACAAAACAATTAATGGATAAGCAATAGACATCATATACTAGAAAAAGAAACTACACCAGGGAAAATAAAAAATCAGTCAAATGCAAAATTCCCAAAAGATAGGAATGATAACCCGTGAAGATGCACACTAAAGCATACTCTTCCAACTTGAAATCTTTATATTTAGTTTTGCAGTGTGATTGGCGAAAAGTCGACACATTCATGCACAAGCAAACAAATGGATGTCAGAGATCAATGTCACCTACATGACTAAATAAAACGTATATATGTCTGTATGCATGTATACATGCATGTGTGTTGTGCATGCTTTTAACTAGGTGCAAACTTCACTCTTTTGTGTACATTTAAATTAGACCTAAACCGACATATCTATTATCCTGATTCTAAAAAGAATATATATTTGGATAACAAAATCATTTTCAACAGAAAATAGCACCAACACCACAATGGTATGAAAAACATCCCTATTTAAAAAGATTGATACTTATCTTACACTAGAAGTGATGATTCAGAAAAAGGCATCAGCAATATAGTGAACATCAATGCCAACAATTCTCAAGTCCCAACTAGAGGTGATATCATTTTAGGAGCAAGTACGATAGACATAGACTTTAGTAATAATTTAATTTCTACTAATATGTGAAAAAAAAAAGTGTGATCTACCACTTTATTTTTCTTTTTGAGCTGGTGCACAATACACATCCACCTGCAAGCATTTCTTCAAATTGAATCCAAAAGTAAGTGACATAAAAAATGAAAACCAACCCACTTAGGCTCTTCACTTCTCCCTATATTTATACTATAAATTTATTTGCAAAACCTTCCGATTTTATATTTGGTTCAACATTTAAGTTTGCCAATTTGTCAACATTCAAGTTTGTTTTTCCAGTAAAGGCATCCTTTACTGTGTAATTTTCATGTTGAGCTAGTGTATCCAATGCACATTAGCAAGAATGCATGGAAACACATACACAACCATACACACCGGACAAAAAAAGACAGCAGCAAATACATGAGGGTTTCTCAATCATATATCAGATAATAATTTCATAGAGGGAAGCACAACACGGGAATAAAAATTGTAACTGTCAAATGATTCACATACAACTAATTCAACACAAAACTTTCATTATGAAATTGCAATTTTACAAACAGTCATCACCATTAAATCTGTTACCTCATGACTTCTTGAGTAATTCTTCAACAATTTGAGTAGAGTATCAGCTCCAAGACAATCACTTAGTTGCAAAACATCACTTGATTTGGCTTTGACTTTCTTAGAAGATATCCACCCTAAGTTTGATCTTTGTTGTTGTGTGCTACACTTGAAGGCCACAGTAGGTAATTCTTCTCTAAGGTACTTGAGCCACTTTTCTAAAGCTTCTTTAGGCACAAGATCTATTATAAGGATCAAATGATTAGCCAATGCAAAAATAAATATTCCAAAATGGAGAAAGGAGACAAAATGAAATGTGATCAGTAAACTACCGATTTTATTTAAAAGCAACACGAGACGTTTATCAGGCCCCGATTTCATCACCATGTTTTCTATCTCAGGACAGCGAGTCCCCAGAGGATCCCGGGCATCAAGGACCTCCAGTAAGACATCAGAGGCTTCAATAACCTTAACAAGATCCTTGTAAAAGGCTCTATCTGAGCTATCTATGCAATAAAAAAAACCAAAAATAACAATTGTAAGAACATAGGCAAGAAAGCATTTGATAGTTCAACCAAACTGTCAGGAAATTACAAATAAATACACACCTCTGGTCCTCACGGCAGTACCAAAATCATTACTATTTCTTCTAGAATCCTCTGGCAAAGTATCACCTTCCTCCTCTAGCAAGCCCAATTTCCTTTTACGAGCCTGAAACAAGTAATGAATAGTAAGTTCCTAACTGCAAGAGAAACAGAAATCACAAATGACTAATTTCTTCGTAGAAGTCTTCTCTTTCCCATCCCAGTTTGAATTAGACATCAATCAGCACTGATATAATAATACAAAAAAAAAACACTTCAATGTACCAATAATCAAAACACCCTCATTATCATCTCTCTCTTTCTCCTATTACATTACACCACCAATCATTCCTACACTTCTCTCACTAGGAACAATCAAAACCCAACTGTCCATGAATCACTTTCTACAAAAACAAGGTTTATATATTTATTTAACTTATGAGGTAACATAACAAATACTTAATTCAAAAGAAATAATTTTTGGGGGCTTAATTGATCCTCTCACAATCTTATATTTATAAGAATAAATTAATACACAAATCCAGGTTAATCCTAGACACACTATAATCAAGATAAATAGGGTAATCCTAAACACACTATAATGATACACTATAATGATGATAAAATAGGATAAATATCCTAACACAAATCATAATCGATAATAAAAAAAAATGCACGAAATGTGGAGTTTAATAAATATAAAGCAATTACCCTTTCCTTGCGTTCAGCTTTCTTTTGCTCCAATTCCTCAATGGCCTTGGCTCTTCGAGCTTCAAGGGCTTTGAGTTCCTGTTCCTTAAAGGGCCAATCGTTGGGAATACCAGGATCCTTCTCAACCTTCTTTTTTCCACTCAGCCGAAGCTTCTTAGCTTCCTTCGTCTTTTTTTTGTTGTGCTCCTTCACTTTCCGGATCACCTTGTACTTCTTCTTCAACGAAACCCTCTTACTCTTACTCTCTGCAACGCAACAGTTTCACCACAATAATAAAAAAACAATTACATCATTGCACACTACTGGAATCAAAGAACAGGATTAGGGTTTTCTTACTTTTGCTCTTCTTCACCATTTTGTGTTTTCTACCGTCACAGGATAAAAATGATAATCACGTCAGAAGAAAAATCGAGAGAAGAAGCCAAAAGATTTGAAGGGGGCGGTGGAGAGAATAGAGAAGAGGGTGAAGGAGTGTATTGTATAATTAGGGTTTTGGGCCGGGTTTATTGTTATTTAAAATTTAAAATGTAAAACTATATTAAATTTGAAATTCAATAAAATTTGTTCTTTTGATTTTATTATTATTTATCAAATAGTGATATGAGATAATCTTTTATATGCTTATCTTTTGATATACTAAAACCATGAATTTTAATATGCCTAGATTTTTTTAATAAGAAAATATACTTAATTAAATATATTGTAATAAAACTATATAATGTAACAAAAAATTTAAAAGCGATTTTCTTAGACTAACTTAAGCCAAATCTATTAATATTTTGTGCTTAAGTAATTTCGCACGTGTTTCTGATAAATACTAATTAGCAGTAAGATTACAAATTATAATTTTATTATTATTATAATGTAGTACATATTTAGCTTCCACAATTGAATTTTATTAAAATATAAATTTATATATATATATATATATATATGCGTGTGTGTGTTGTGTAAATATCATTATATTTTAAAATTCTATTAATGAATAATTTATATATTTATTATATATGTGAATTCTTTATACTAATGAAAACACAATTCTAACCCTTCTACTTATTTATACTCATCGTTATAGAACTATATTAGTCTTTAATTGTTTATAAAATAAAATAAACAAATCTCTTTTAACAGTCATAAACTTAAATAAAATAAAATGAACAAAAAATTATAAGATAGGATAACTATAAGAGTAAATATACAATAATTATCCACTTTTATATCTATTTGATATCTAATATAAAAGTAAAATAATTATAAAAATATAAATTTTTATATCTTTTTAAAAAAGAAATAAATAAAAAATAAGAAAGAATAATATCTAAAAGATTTATGTACGTGAAATAATCATGATTATAATTTTATGTTCCTTAAAAACTAATATTTTAATTCAGATTTTGTGTATAAAAAATATTTATTTACGTTATCATTATTCATCCAAAATATTCTCATGAAAGCTATGTAACTGATATAATCAATATTAATTCACTAGTATATAGAAGAACTTTTTTGTATTCATAAAATACGGTTTATGAAAGAATAAGAGAATAATAAAAATTAGAATAATAAGATCTTATAAATTATAACAATTATAAAAACATATAAACTGCATAAAATATTTTAGGTAAAAAAATAATCAGTTTGTTAATTATAATTTAAAAAATTTATTAAACTTTGATAAGAGATAATGAAATATTTTAACAATATTTATAGTTAAAATATTATTAGAATGATATTTATATATAATATACTATAGATAATATATAATATAATACATAATATATAAACATAAATATAATCGATAATGTATAATATATAAATGTATAGATTTGAGACTAATATATGATGTAAGATGTAAAATATTATTAAAATAAAATATTATATATATGATAATAAAATCTTATAAGATAACAAACCTTCAATATATACACCTCTAGAATCATCTAGTCTCCCATCTACTTTCTCTCACATCTTACTCAAACAATCAAAAAGACTGTTCTTAAGCACACACTGTTCTTAAGCACACACTATTAAGATGATTATTGCAAAGAGAAAAACAACACATACCAAACAACACAAAGCAATGATAATATAGTGGTATAACATATCATCATAACACAATAAACATTTCATTATACATTATATTACACACATAATAAACATTCATCCTAAACATGCCACAGACTTAGACTTGACCATTCGGATACAGTATGAATGTCGAACTATGGTGGTTCCTGCACTTGTGATGACATCTACTGCTTTATAGAGCCATTGCCAATAGGTTTCACCCTACCACTCACAAGGTTAGTCCTCAAACGCCCATTTACCAATTGGAGAAAGGTCCATCAGGCTAAGACCTCCTGCTACTCTCCACGACATAATCATCCATCTCTACTTGAATTGGGGTTATTGAGAGTGTCAGGATAAACCACCAATACAAAGCTCCATACATTCATACAACAACAACACAAGGCACCACCATGTATCCTCTCCACGAGAATCATGTAATTACGTCCATTAATCATTTACTTAATCAACCACATATTCATCATCAACATATCTGTCTCATAATCATATATATATATATATATATATATATACATATATATATATATATATATATATGTATATATATATATATATATATATATATATATATATATATATATATATATATATATATATATATATATATATATATATATATATATACATATATATACACACACACATACATATACTTCACACAAACATTACATATTATCACATGAAACCTCGGATTATACATTAAACAACCAGAAACACCCATACAAGGCATCAAAAGTCACATAATAATACAATTTTTTCATGGCATCTTGATTCTCATATTTAGGTAAGAAAAACAGCTTTGAAACCCTTATCGACAGCTCCAAATGGGTCCCAAACCCCCAAAATGACCTAAAAACGTCTAAAACTGACATCCAAAACCTTGAAAACCCCCCGAAACAGGTGCAATGATGCTCAACTGCACCCAGTGGCACTCGGGCACCTAGGCTTGGCGCTCGGGCGCCCAGGGCTCGCGCTCGGGCGCCCAGGGCTGGCACTCGGGTGCCCAGGGCTGGCACTCAGCACCTTGGCCACTAGAAATGAGCGCTTAGGGTCCTGTTTGAGCGCTCAACGCTATTAGTAAAATCAAGACTCAATTTTCTCACTCTGAATACTTTACCCCCAACTTCTAAAGGCCTCTAGACCTTCCAAACCTTGTGAAAACTCTGAAAACATTGTTGTAACTTAAAATGACTCATTAAAACCTAATTTCTCTCCTATAAGCTACCTAAACTCAATTCTACACTTTCTAACCTCCGTATCAGTTTACAAACTGCATGACCAAGTCTAAATACACTTGTTAGCATACTCCTACACCTCAAAATACTCACAGTCATTCTATTTCAAAATATCACCATGTAAAACATCAATTTATACCAAAATCACTCAAGAACTCACCCCAAGATGACACAAACTGTTCTACACCAGATTTTTCTCACTTAACAACTTAGACAAGTCCTAATAGGTCTCATATCATCCTCCCAACTGCCCAAAACTGTTTACACTCATTACTTCAAAATCTTACTACTCAAAACCCCATTTTTACAATAAAAACACCTTAAAACTTCAACAAATCACTACCCTTTTCTTCTATAACAAATTTTAATCCACTAACACCTCTAACAAGTCTTAAATTACTTCATAACAGCCTTAAGTATCACCCTAGGTCATGTGTCTTTTTGTGGTTCTGGATAATATTTTTACTATGTTTTTATTGTGGAGTCTAGTTATATGTGTTTAGGGAGTTGTGGGAAATGGGTTTGTTCTATTTCTACTATGCATGGTCTTTTAGGGTTTGTGTTTATTTAACTGACTTTTTTTTAGTATTTCTCTTTAAGGCTTTGTTCATTTGAATGGATTTGGGGGAGAGTGATTGAGGGGATTTGATAGGATTTGAAGATAATTTTTATTGTTATTTATTTGAGTGGATTTGGAGGTAAGTGAGATTTTATTTTGAAGTAAATTTTTTTAATCTGTCACATCAATTAAATCCTACACTAATTCTCACAAATTTTATTTCGAAATTCATTTTTACTTACCTCCAAATCTACTTAAGTAAACAACAACAAAAATTATCTTCAAATCCTCTCAAATCCCCTCAATCACTCTCTCCCAAATTCAGTCAAGTAAACAAAGCCTAAGTGATATTAGAGAAAGACATATGAAGAAGAAATCATATCTTTTTACATGTAAGTACATTTTCGAAGACGGAATTTTTTGTGTGTGAGGAGAATGTGGCATCCTAAACATTATAATAATTAGAAAAATATAAACATAAAGTTAAATATCTAAAGTAAAAGATAAAATATTTATTAATTATAATTTCAAAGGTTTATTAGATTGTAATAAGAGATAATAGAATATTTTAATGATATGTATAGTTAAAATAATATTTATATACAATATAATAAAGATAATATATAATATATAAACGTATATGTTATATATTATATTATATGTAAATTTTATAAAAATATATAATATAAACTTATATATTATAAATAGTAAGGATAATATAAAAACGTATATTTTTTAATGAGTTAGCATGTCTTTCTTGGAAGGTTGGCAGACTGGCCTGATTGGTTTGACACCATTAAAATTGAGATCCTTATGGTGGAGTCTACCCATGTATTTATATGATTGTTATTTGAGTTTATGACTTTTATTGAAAAATATTTTCAAACTTATAATGTGATAAAAATTACTCTCATGATAACTATAATTTATGTTAGTCTATCCTTCTATTTTGGTGTTGTAATTTTTATCAGTAATGATATTTTTTTTATATGAAAGTAAATGATACAAGTATGGAAAAAGATGCATAATAGAGATGATAGTGGTAAAAACCTTTTTCTACCATTCTTGATTTAATTGACGGAAGTTTACATTCACCACTCGGTTGTGCGTTTAGTTTCTATCAATTAAATTTATTGACCTTGCATTATAATTCATATTTTCACTTTGAATATCTATCTTTTTGGGATTTATAATTAGAATTACCATTCTGTGATGGTGTATTGAACAGTTGAATTCCTATTGTCTTAATACTTTTTCAAAGAATTTTCTTTTTCATTGTTAGTTTGACAATTTTATATTTTTATAACCATAAAATATTTTTTTTAGTACCTGGTGAATAAATGTGTTTTCTGAACTAGTGGTATCATAGTTTATTTTTTTTTATAATTTTACTATAAGTATGAGATTATATTATTTTAGTATCATCCCTAAATGTTACGAGAACAAGTAATTAAAAAAATTAATATAGAATTTTACATGAATTAGTTTTAAAATTATAATTTACATATAACTTTTAATTAATTAAAAAAATGGTATTCAACATTATATGTAGCTTTTAAAAATAGAATAAGGTAACTTTTTAACTTTTTTTTTCTATATTTTTTTCCAACTTCAAGTT